CCAAGTGGACCGAGAGGGACGGCATTCTCTCGGAAGTCGTGCGTTTTACGTTAGCAGGATGACCGGCAACCTGCGACAGCAAATTGTGGCCGTTTTATATTCGACGGAATGAGTTGTCTAACGAGCTAGACTGCCTGATAAGGGGTCAAAGACTTTTGATCCCGGTCGCGCTTCAACAACAAGGAATAGCATTACTACAAGAAGAACATCCGGATTGCAACGAATGAAGATACTAGCAAGGTCGTACTTATGGTGGCCGTCGATGTACAGTGCTAATCACACTTGTCTATAACGCGCGAACGTGCGGCTTTCTCCGGGGAGCGCTAGACTGGTGGCATTCGCGGAAACTAAGCTAGTCACGTAGCGCAACATGGAACGGCCCGTTCGAGGGGTGTCCTGACCACTCTATCAGCTGGCGGCGAACGCGGTGTCATTGTCGGCGATCAGTGCTTTTGTCCTGTAGGATTCTCTCGATACTATGCGCAGTCCTGTTGAATCCGGTCAATTGATATAATTTTGTTTTTTGCATAGTAGCAAGCCTTATACCAGATTGATAAGCTACAAAAGTGCGTCATGATAGAGTTTTTTTTTTATGACCTTGATACGCCTTCATGCTTTAGTTTGTTTGTTGTTCGAGAAATAATGTTTGTAAAAAGCGTGCGACCAGCTTTCCGCGTTCGCCGCCAGCTGATATAATGAGCAGGACACCCCTCGAGCGGGCCGTTCCATGTTGCGCCACGTGACTAGCTTAGTTTCCGCGAATGCCACCAGTCTAGCACTCCCCGGAGAAAGCCGGACGCTCGCGCGTTATAGACAAGTGTGATTAGCACTGTACAACCGGATTGATACGACAGTTCTTCAGTGCCAGGTCTGTCAGACAACCAGGCCGGCCAAGACCTCAGGACCTTTACACCATTGGAGGTATCCAACACCTCTCTGGCAGCGCGTCCATGTCGACTTCGCCGTCAAGGAGGGCTCGATTTTTTTTTGTGCTCAACGATTTCTACTCCAAGCGTAAAAAGAAGTAGAATTCCTGGGAAGCACGGCGACATCAAATACCATTGATCTACTTAAAATTTTCTTCGCATCCCATGGATTCCAAGAAGGACTCGATAGCGACAATGACCTGACCTCTGAGGAGTTCGCAGAATTCGCGCGTTAGCATGGTATCGGGTACACACTCACTCGACCATATCACGCAACGGCAAACGGAGCAGCCGAACGGCTGGGTCAAACAACGAAAGCTACATTACTCAAACAGGTGCTTCACGACAGCATGGGGCAACGGCACAGAAGTCTGCAACAGCGATTAGACGACTTTCTGCTCGCTCACCGGTACACTCTAAATTCATGAAAGGAAGGACACTTGTGGACTTGATTTTGAAAAGACAACCTACTGCGAAAGTTTCCCTTCTAACACCAAACTTTGTGCAGGATATTAGGGAGCGTCGAAAACGAATTGCTGCGAACCGCAACAAGGCCGATGAAAACAGCTGCTGATTCGAGCTGGTGAAACAATATACATCAAGACTACACGATCCGAGTCAGCCTGCTGAAACGAAGCCAAGGTAATTCAACAGGTGAGCGACTGCAAATATGACAGATGCAGCAAGTGTCAGCTGCGTTTCGTTCACATCGACCACTTCTGACCATGTTGGGAATTAGAGTCCAGTAGCAAGTTTCGGGACATCCCACCAACCAACCGGCAGTCGGACCACCTCGACACTGCTCGGATGGACAAAGACGCCACGACAACCCAGCCTGGTGAAGCTGCCCCATCACACTCCTCACCCCGGCAGACGAAAAAGTCAGGAGAAACAGGCCTGGTGAAGCTGGCACTCGACCGGCTTACATCATTGCAGCAGAGGGGCCAGCTGAAGGACAAGGAACGGAGACCACCAGCTTCTCCAACGCGACTCTAGCGTCATCGTCCCCACAGCTTCAAAGAAGTACTCCGGATCGGCGTCCGCCAAGCCGTTATTCTAACAAATTAATGTACTAAGAACGTATAATTTGATATAAGAAAAAAATGAGTGTTACGTAGGGATCACGTGAGCATTCGTCAGAAAATATTCCTATAAAAAATAATGCCTGCCAGTAAAGATCGTTTTTGGCATCCTCAGCACCAACGTGTTTCTTTGATTAAAACAGAACACTGACTATCGAGACTTGCTGATAACGCCTGCTATTACTGAATGGGAAACGCCCAATAAACAAGGACAAGGAAGGGGGCAGAGACGAAGCGCGCTCTCAACTGAAGGTTTATTGAAACAAACGTTAACTATTAATATCGTCTATCTGGCTCTTGGATTAGAAAGAAAAACTCCTTATCCGTCACGTGCAGTGACGGCGCACTAATACACAGGCTCTCCCCTTGCTCTCTTATGCCGAGTGCCTCATGCATTTCTCGCGCTGTTTTGTTTGCGCATCTGCCCAGGTCTGTTTTTTTTCCGATTCCGGGCCACATGGGCACCTATCGCAGTGCAACGCCAGATTGCCCGACGGGGACTGTTTCACTGACCAGGCATGGTCTCTGGCTCTCTTATTTATGCAACGCCCCGTTTGGGCCACATGCGATCACCCGCAACTCCTTGGTATGTTATATACCACTGACGTTGCACACTCCACGTATTGCTTTGCGTGTTTCTTTTGGCACACTTTACCCTCTCCCTTTCGTTTTTTTTTTAATTTTTAACATAGTTGAAAAAGTTCTTGTGGCGCTGGAAACACCGCTGGCACTTCAAGATGAGCCGCCACTTTTTTAGATTATGAGATCGATTATGAATTTAAGTAATCACCGCCGGTCTTGTTAGTTGTCTGGAAAGAATATGAGCGTGATGAAAATAATCCCTGGAGAAGGGGAACAAGAGGGACAAAGGACAAACATAAATCTCCAAACACAGCTAGGTGACTGGTGAGCGACCGAAAGAATCCGCCTGGTCCGGGTATCGAACCCGGGACCTCTCCATTACAGGTGGAGCGCTCTACCAACTGAGCTAACGAGGGGTTAGACGCCAGTAGAGCAAACGGGTTTTATCAGTTGCCACCAGTCTAACACCAACAAGGGTGAAGCTTGCAAGTTAAGGTTGTAATTATAATGCAATTAAATGCAAAGGTGCAAGCGAGCTGGACAAGAATGATGAAAATAATCCCTGGAGAAGGGGAACAAGAGGAACAAAGGACAAACATAAATCTAACAAACACAGCTAGGTGACTGGTGAGCGACCGAAAAAATCCGCCTGGTCCGGGTATCGAATCCGGCGCCTCTCCATTACAGGTGGAGCGCTCTACCAACTGAGCTAACCAGGGGGTAGACGTCAGTAGAGCAAACGGGTTTTATCCGCTGCCACTAGTCTAACACCAACAAGGGTGAAGCTTGCAAGTTAAGGTTGTTATTATAATGCAATTAAATGCAAAGGTGCAAGCGAGCTGGACAAGAATGATGAAAATAATCCCTGGAGGAGGGGAACAAGAGGGACAAAGGACAAACATAAATCTCCAAACACAGCTAGGTGACTGGTGAGTGGCCGAAAAAATCCGCCTGGTCCGGGTATCGAACCCGGGACCTCTCCATTACAGGTGGAGCGCTCTACCAAATGAGCTAACCAGGTTTTTTTTTTATTGCACCGAGCTAACCAGGGGTTAGACGTCAGTAGAGCAAACGGGTTTTATCAGTTGCCACCAGTCTAACATTAACAAGGGTGAAGCTTGCAAGTTAAGGTTGTAATTATAATGCAATTAAATGCAAAGGTGCAAGCGGGCTGGCCAAGAATGATGAAAATAATCCCTGGAGAAGGGGAACAAGAGGGACAAAAAACAAACACAATCTCCAAAAATCTCCACCTGTAATGGAGAGGTCCCGGGTTCGATACCCGGACCAGGCGGATTTTTTCGGTCGCTCACCACTCACCTAGCTGTGTTTGTTAGATTTATGTTTGTCCTTTGTCCCTCTTGTTCCACTTCTCCAGGGATTATTTTCATCATTCTTGTCCAGCTCGCTTGCACCTTTGCATTTAATTGCATTATAATTACAACCTTAACTTGCAAGCTTCACCCTTGTTGGTTTTAGACTGGTGGCAACTGATAAAACCCGTTTGATCTACTGACGTCTAACCCCTGGTTAGCTCAGTCGGTAGAGCGCTCCATCTGTAATGGAGAGGTCCCGGGTTCGATACCCGGACCAGGCGGATTTTTTCGGTCGCTCACCAGTCACCTAGCTGTGTTTGGAGATTTATGTTTGTCCTTTGTCCCTCTTTTTCCCCCTTCTCCAGGGATTATTTTCATCATTCTTGTCCAGCTCGCTTGCACCTTTGCATTTAATTGCATTATAATATGACCGTCCTCTTTTTACTTCATCTTGGAAACAAGGTTATCCGCACTTCCCCCAAGAAGCGATCGGAGTACCCTCCGCGTTTTAGACAATTCAGCTACGTGAGTAAGCTTTCATTTGCGACATGGTGGCATGACTTTGCCAACGAGGCTCTCATTAGGCACGATGCTGTTCCCCTTTTGACGAGTTTTGGATTGCGCAGAATTGAAGGGTAGAACCCCTTTCTTACTTCGCGGCTCATACTTCCAAAAAACATGGTCACCTTCGAAGTTGAGGCTCAAATCCAAAAAGTGCAGCCTTCCCTTCGTCATTAACTCGTGGCAAAACGTCAATCCATGTGAATTCAAGTTGAAACAATCCAGCACATCGGTGAATAAGTTCACGCTAACAATAACGGACTTCGCGGCAAGCACCAAAAAGTCATCCATATACCGACAGATTGTGAATTCCCCCAATTTTTCAATATCCTTACGTGTTCCCTTATCACATTTAGCCAAAAATATATCGCAGAGCACTCACGCAACACGGGAGCCGATACATATACCTCGCTTTCGAACCTAAACACCATCCCTGCTATTATCGTGTCTTATTTCTAAAACTCCTCGGCGACATTTCGCGTTAAATGAAATAAGGGTGATAAGCAAGTTCAAAACATTCGTGTTCCATTTATTCTCGATTCGAAGCACTGTACAAAATATACAAAGCCGTATATGAACGGCGCTCTCGAAAATAAGCGTCGTTATATATCAATAAGCACATTCACGATTACACATCCCAACGTACGCGTTTTTGTTTTGCCAGAAGTTGAGCTTTCTATCAGCGGCCCTTGTGTCCGTAGCCTCCTCCAAAGCCTCCGTAGCCTCCGTAGCCCCCTCCGAAGCCTCCGAATCCGCCGCCGTATCCTCCCTTCAGTAGAAGACCACCTCCATAGCCACCGCCGTAGCCACCTCCAAATCCGCCGCCAAATCCGCCACCGAGGCCGCCTCCGAATCCACCTCCGTATCCTCCGAAACCACCTCCACCGACGCCAACGAGGTGACTGCTGTGGACGCCTCCGTGGCTCACTTTGTTCACGTGGTGCACAGTCTTCACGAGGAATGCTGGGCCAGGAACCACCTTGCTGTAGCCATGTCCATATCCCCCGCCGAAGCCGCCTCCGTAGCCACCACCGAAGCCGCCACCATAGCCACCGTAGCCTCCCGCAACGGCGACACTGGCCATGGCGGCAAGGCCGCAGCAGATCACCTGGGCGAAAAACAAATTCCAATCTTATTCGTTTTTGTGGACTGCGAAGTACGTTTCTAAATTATTTAGTACATATTTTCCTTCAATGTTTGTATTTAAATAGGCAATATGGTTGTTTAACTTCAGTGTATTCGAAAAAGCTAAAGAGAGGTTGTACTAATGTATCAAGGACAATTTAATTATATTGGAACAAAATATGGAGGGAATACGAAATCATGCACTCAGCTTAGCAACACCACGAGGTTTTCTTTCTGTTTTTCATGCTGATGCTTGAAGCAAAGCACAGCATGCGTATTTTTTGAAGTAAGCCCCAAAAGTTCTTGAAAAAAAAAAAACGAGTTAGAGGGAAATTTTGCTGTTTTTTCCCCAGCAAACCTGAATATCACATTCGTTCTTCATGAAGATGTAAATGAACGCGAGGAAACACAAAATCCTCGACCAGTCTTTACGTCATACTCGGATATTTCCGCAGCAAACAGGTGTGGCTCCTTTGTGCAGCGTGTGCAATCGCGAGATTGCCAGGCATGTTCTCCCGCACTGACGACAGTCGTGACATCTTTTTCGCTTTTTTTTTTTTTTTTTTAAATAGCACGAGTGTGCGTGCATAGCTTTCACAATCGCTGAAGATGCGCGAAAGCGAAGATTTTCAAAACTCCTAAATGACGTCAAGCTCCGGGAAAAAGGGGCGACAGCGGTACTTTGAAAATAATATTCTGCAGCTTCCGTACTGCAAATTGAGAAATAATCTCGATATTCGTCATCCTGGGGGCCCAATGAGACGATTTAAGTGTTTTTCCTGAGATACAGCATCGCTTCCGTTTCCATCTGAGGGCTGCAATGTGTGTAAAATACTTTTATTTCCACGTACCAATAATGAATTCCGGCTATATGCTAATCCTAAATTAATAATAAAGTGCTTGCTTTAGCTAAAGAATGCTAAAGTGATTGGCTTGCTGTTGCTAACTGTATAATCAGCTGTAATACTTGGACGCCTGTTTCCAAGGTGATTTTACGTCGACGAATTAACTAAAAATCTTGTATGTACAAATAACTGAATCATGGTCGGTTGGATTAATAACTCGGTCGTGCATCGCTGTTTCGCCTCATCTAACTTTCGATGCCAAGGTTAGAAAAAAGCTTTGCCACAAACCACTAGAGTTGTAAGAACGCGCTGCATGTCTAAACTACTCACCAAGGTTCTCATTCCGGCTCTTTGGATCGCTGTAGCTCCTTTCACTGCAGTCGCAGTTTTGATTTCTCCCCAGTGGCTGCTCTCCTCTTATATACAAGAGCGATGGTGGCTCGCATCTTGCCGAGTGTCGATTATGAGGCGCGAGGTTTTTTGCCTCTTCGGCTCTGTTTGCACGCGTTGTGGGAGGGTCGCGTATCCCGGATCCTACCCTCTCCCTGGTCGTTCCGCTCTGTCCTGGTCAGCGCGAGGCCAGTGGCCATCTTAGAGTGCTTCCGGAATAGGAGCGTCAGGGTATTGAATGTGCTTTTCCTGCTTTTGTTCCAAACAGTGGCGGATCAGATAGCGGGCCCAGCCTCTCGCTTCCTGACGCGGTTACATAATTTCGAGGGAAGCGGCTCGCGTAATGCCTCTAAGTGGACTTCAAATAATTGGAGCATCCGAACGGGTTTGGGAAGCGTGTGCCGACCGACGATCTTATCGCGCCCTGCCGGGAAACGCCTGACTTCCGAAGACGGAACACGTGTCAGTAGAGGGGCCCTTTCTCGAGCCCTTTTCCTACAGCTGGGCGGCGATCGTGAAATTGAAAGGACAATTCTGTGCTCCTTCTTCGTCCTGGGCCGGCGCCGATAGAAAAGCGCCTTCGCAGAAGGTGTCGAAGTGTCATCGCTTACAAAACAAGTACGAGTTATATACTTAAAAAAAACACAAAAAAACGCGCCGTTGAATTTGAACGGGGTCAACGCGTTGACTTCAGCGTTAGTTTCTGAATCCATCGATGGAGCGGGAATAATAAGACCTGGATTGTACCTGAGAAAGAACTGTGGTTATGAAGGTGCCTGCTGAGCTCCGAGTGTCGTAAGCCTTGTCTCTTGGATTGAAAGTGCAGGTTCACCGCCCGACTCCTGTGGGTAATGACAATCGACACCATCCGGTTTTTCTTTGTGAAGATGACACTATGAATAACGTGGATGTATTCGGCTACAAACCCAATTCGCCCAATTGTAAAAAAAAGAAATAACTTAGATGTCCGAGCGGAGCGTAACTTTCCGCCGTAGTAGAATAAATGCAGCCATCTCTCTCTGTGTTGGCGACGGTTGAAAAAGCGCATCGCCTAATTTAGCACCCGCGTTTTTTGCAGTGATACCGCGGCGTCATTCAACGAGCATTAAGTTGAGACAGTCTATTATCCTCACCACGTCTGACACCAATAACACACCAGCAGCTACTGAGACACTTACAGTCTACAATAATCGAAAAACGTCTGCCCGAAAAAACGTCCGGATCCACAATGGCAGCAGCGGTCGCTAAATAATCGCATTGCCTTATCTCTCATCCGAGACATTTTTGGGTAATAATTTTTAATAAACTTTATTCGCGTATTTTATCGCTGGAGCTCGCGCTGCTTCCATACTGCGCATCAATGTCAAGCAGTAAATATTGTGTGTTTCGCGCTATCGGAACGGAGCGGACAAAACTCGAGCCCCCACCAGGCGCCCCTATAGCAGCAAACGTGTCATTTTCATCGATAGTTTTTTTTTATTTATTTTTTTTTATTTAGATGACGTTTTTTGTAAGTTTGCGCCACAGAAAAAAAAAAGCTCGCGTAATTCGTAAGAACCTTAAATTCCGTCGTAATATTGCTTGCCCGCGCAATTCGTCACAATTGCTTTCCGACGAGTAGTCGGCTACAGCCGCTAGTCGGCAGTGAACAAGTTCTACGAACCCGCGGAGGTGCCACGGCTCCGGGAAATCAAACAAGAATGGAACCAGAAGGGCAAACGAAAATATTAATTCTGGGTAGCAAAAGTACAGTGATGACAGAAGCGACCTAGTGAAGACACCATTTTCTTAAACAACCCGAGACTCGCTGGATAACGAAAATCATTCCTTCGGATACTGGTTCTTCACCCAGTCTCGAGTCGTTCATAAAAATAAGTGAAACCGCTGTCAGCCTCGCGGGCATCCAAGCAAACACGGACGGTCTCGTGACGTCGAAACTAGCCGTGGAAAGCACCGAGAAATCGCCAAAGAGAATATCGGACCAATATCGCGACCCGCTAAGATGAGCTACCAAGCGCATAAATAAAATAACTGTCTGGTACAAACTGGTAGAACGTCTCAAAAGCCAACACTCCGTGAGGTTGGGGGGTACTGCGATAAATTAATAACCGAATTAGAGCAATAGAGACATATACTCCGCTTTACTCGAATTGGCAGCCGACGCCACAATCCGAAAGAGCCAATGAAGGAGCCCAAAAAGTGCTTACTCGCGGAGCTCATTGTCTTGGTGCATTTGCTATCCCATAGTCAACACCCATCGCGCCCATTCTTCTTCCAGTGCGTGATCGGTTTCGCCGGTGATAGCAGATAGCACAAAGAACAGTCGTGTTGCGACGTCATTGGCTCCACCTGGGTATTGCGTCGGCTGGGCCTAGTGGAAAATAGAGTCTGTGATCTGGAATGAAAGATAATTGAGTATCGAGATCCCATACAAAATTGATCTATGGTCGTCCGCAGAAAATCCTTTGTTCTGAAGCTATACAAAATTGGCCCAATAAACTAGAGCCGCTTTAGGTCTGTCTGTAGATTTTTCTATTATCTCCTATATGGATATCTATAAATTTGTCTGCGGTTTATCACTCGTTAGTTACAACTTTCTACAGATTTCTCAATGGATAGTTATGTAACTTTGCTCGGTTTACTCTCTGGATCTTTTTAGAAAGGATGATATAGACCCTTACGGATTTTATTATGGTTTCTTTAGCCGTCTATAGCCCCTTGCATGGTCTGCTATAAAGATTTTTATGGCTTTCCCACTGGGTCTCTTTTGCAGAATCTTATAGCTGCCCGTGGCTTCTATGGTTACTACTATAGTCGGTTACAAGTCAAGAAGGTAGGAGAAGCTCCTCCCAGAAGTGTGATGCGCCCGTTTCAAATCTCTCCGCAGTCGAAAGAAGAGTTCACTTGAAACGCTCCTTGTTCCGCTTCAATGGATTCCCACTTGTCTCCGATCCCACTTTTTAAGAAAGCGACCTTTGTATTCATCGGAGAGGGAACAGAGCCCCTGAAAGCAGCCTTTGTATCCATCGGGGGGGAAGCTAATCCCCGAAAGTCGTATTTGTTTCCGTCGGTGGGGGAGAACTCTAATCTCCCTCTCGTGGCTTCCACAATGCAAAGTCAAAGTCGAAAGATAAAGCAAATATGTACAGAAAGGCAAGACCCTCCTCGCGCGTTGTCCGCGACGTCACGGAAACGGTGGGACGCTATTGGATGCGGAGGTGGCGGAGGGATATCCGATTCCCTTTGAGGGGCATTTGCCGCTACCTTCTTAACCTGTAACTGACTATAGTGCATGAAAATATCGGTCAAACCGGTTATCCGGTTAATCGGTTTTATTTTGTGCATCCTGATGACCAGTACATAAAACAGCATTTCGCGCCCGGTATTTAAGGCAAATAACAACTCATCAGATCGATTTTTTTTTATGCGATAGCATCCTTTAACTACCCCCCCCCCCCGCCCCATTTCGCGAACCTTCGGCTTTCCGGCCACCTTATTCGCAGTTTCCCTGCAAAATTTAGCGGGAAATTGACGTCACCTGACCTATACACATATTTGGCTTCCCCGCTAAATTTAGCGGGAAATTTCATGTCACGTGACCTGACACCGCGGGACCTACACACTGATTCAGTTCCCCCTCTCAATTGACGTCACATTACCTAAGTACTAATTCAGTTTCCCCGCTAAATATAGCGGGAAATCTGATGTAACGAGACATGACGTCACGGGACCTAAACACAAATTCAGTTTCCCCGCTAAATTTAGCAGGAAAACTTACGTCACAGGACCTAAGCACTATTTCAGTTTCCCCGCTATATTTAGCGGGAAATTTGATGTAACGTGACATAACATTACGGGACCTACACACCAATTCAGTTTCCCCGCTAAATATAGCGGAAAAACTTACGTCACTTGACCTAAGTACTAATTCCGTTTCCCCGCTAAATTTAGCGGGAAATTTGATGTAACGTGACATGACGTCACGGGACCTACACACCAATTAAGTTTCCCCGCTAAATTTAGCGGAAAAACTTACGTCAGATGAACTAAGCACTAATTCAGTTTCCCCGCTAAATATAGCGGGAAATCTGATGTACGTGACATGACGTCACGGGACGTACACACCAATTTAGTTTTCCCGCTAAATTTAGCGCAAAAACTTAAGTCACACGACCCAAGCACTAATTCAGTTTCACCACTGAATGTTGCGGGAAATTTGATGTGACGTGACATGACGTCACGGGACCTACACACCAATTGAGTTTCCCCGCTAAATTTAGCGGAAAAACTTACGTCACACTACTTAAGCACTAATTCAGATTCACCATTAAATTTAGCGGGAAATTTGATGTAACGAGACATGACGTCACGGGACCTACACACCAATTCAGTTTCCCCGCTAAATATAGCGGAAAAACTTACGTCACATGAACTAAGCACTAATTCAGTTTCCCCGCTAAATATAGCGAAAAATCTGATGTAACGTGACATGACGTCACGGGACGTACACACCAGTTTAGTTTTCCCGCTAAATTTAGCGGAAAAACTTACGTCACACGACCTAAGCACTAATTCAGTTTCACCACTGAATGTAGCGTGAAATTTGATTCGACGTGACATGACGCCACGGGACCTACACACCAATTGAGTTTCCCCGCTAAATTTACCGTAAAAACTTACGTCACTCGACCTAAGCACTAATTCAGTTTCAACACAAAAATTAGCGGGAAATTTGATGTAACGTGACATGACGTCATGCGACTTGCACACCAATTCAGTTTCCCCGCTACATTTAGCGCAAAAACTTGCGTCACACGACCTAAGCACTAATTCAGATTCACCATTAAATTTAGCGGGAAATTTGATGTAACGAGACATGACGTCACGGGACCTACACACCAATTCAGTTTTCCCGCTAAATTTAGCGGAAAAACTTACGTCAGATGAACTAAGCACTAATTCAGTTTCCCCGCTAAATATAGCGGGAAATCTGATGTACGTGACATGACGTCACAGGACGTACACACCAATTTAGTTTTCCCGCTAAATTTAGCGGAAAAACTTACGTCACACGATCTAAGCACTAATTCAGTTTCACCACTGAATGTAGCGGGAAATTTGATGTGACGTGACATGACGTCACGGGACCTACGCACCAATTGAATTTCCCCGCTAAATTTAGCGGAAAAACTTACGTCAGATGAACTAATCACTAATTCAGTTTCCCCGCTAAATTTAGTGGGAAATCCGATGTAACGTGACATGACGTCACGGGACCTACACACCAATTCAGTTTTCCCGCTAAATTTACCGTAAAAACTTACGTCACTCGACCTAAGCACTAATTCAGTTTCAACACTAAATTTAGCGGAAAATTTGATGTAACGTGACATGACGTCATGCGACTTGCACACCAATTCAGTTTCCCCGCTACATTTAGCGCAAAAACTTGCGTCACACGACCTAAGCACTAATTCAGATTCACCATTAAATTTAGCGGGAAATTTGATGTAACGAGACATGACGTCACGGGACCTACACACCAATTCAGTTTTCCCGCTAAATTTAGCGGAAAAACTTACGTCAGATGAACTAAGCACTAATTCAGTTTCCCCGCTAAATATAGCGGGAAATCTGATGTACGTGACATGACGTCACGGGACCTACACACCAATTGAGTTTCCCCGCTAAATTTAGCGGAAAAACTTACGTCACAGGACCTAAGCACTAATTCAGATTCACCATTAAATTTAGCGGGAAATTTGATGCAACGAGACATGACGTCACGGGACCTACACACCAATTCAGTTTCCCCGCTAAATATAGCGGAAAAACTTACGTCACATGAACTAAGCACTAATTCAGTTTCGCCGCTAAATATAGCGGGAAATCTGATGTACGTGACATGACGTCACGGGACCTACACACCAATTGAGTTTCCCCGCTAAATTTAGCGGAAAAACTTACGTCACACGACCTAAGCACTAATTCAGATTCACCATTAAATTTAGCGGGAAATTTGATGTAACGAGACATGACGTCACGGGACCTACACACCAATTCAGTTTCCCCGCTAAATATAGCGGAAAAACTTACGTCACATGAACTAAGCACTAATTCAGTTTCGCCGCTAAATATAGCGAAAAATCTGATGTAACGCGACATGACGTCACGGGACGTACACACCAGTTTAGTTTTCCTGCTAAATTTTGCGGAAAAACTTACGTCACACGACCTAAGCACTAATTCAGTTTCAACACTAAATTTAGTGGGAAATTTGATGTAACGAGACATGACGTCACGGGACCTACACACCAATTCAGTTTTCCCGCTAAATTTAGCGGAAAAACTTACGTCAGATGAACTAAGCACTAATTCAGTTTCCCCACTAAATATAGCGGGAAATCTGATGTACGTGACATGACGTCACGGGACGTACACACCAATTTAGTTTTCCCGCTAAATTTAGCGGAAAAACTTACGTCACACGACCCAAGCACTAATTCAGTTTCACCACTGAATGTTGCGGGAAATTTGATGTGACGTGACATGACGTCACGGGACCTACACACCAATTGAGTTTCCCCGCTAAATTTAGCGGAAAAACTTACGTCACACTACTTAAGCACTAATTCAGATTCACCATTAAATTTAGCGGGAAATTTGATGTAACGAGACATGACGTCACGGGACCTACACACCAATTCAGTTTCCCCGCTAAATATAGCGGAAAAACTTACGTCACATGAACTAAGCACTAATTCAGTTTCCCCGCTAAATATAGCGAAAAATCTGATGTAACGTGACATGACGTCACGGGACGTACACACCAGTTTAGTTTTCCCGCTAAATTTAGCGGAAAAACTTACGTCACACGACCTAAGCACTAATTCAGTTTCACCACTGAATGTAGCGTGAAATTTGATTCGACGTGACATGACGCCACGGGACCTACACACCAATTGAGTTTCCCCGCTAAATTTACCGTAAAAACTTACGTCACTCGACCTAAGCACTAATTCAGTTTCAACACAAAAATTAGCGGGAAATTTGATGTAACGTGACATGACGTCATGCGACTTGCACACCAATTCAGTTTCCCCGCTACATTTAGCGCAAAAACTTGCGTCACACGACCTAAGCACTAATTCAGATTCACCATTAAATTTAGCGGGAAATTTGATGTAACGAGACATGACGTCACGGGACCTACACACCAATTCAGTTTTCCCGCTAAATTTAGCGGAAAACCTTACGTCAGAT